ACGGACAAGGTCCAGCCACGGACCTCCAACATCAGCCCGCCTCCTGCGGCGACGGCACCTACCTGCGCCAAATCATCCTGCACGTGCCAGCACCCCAAGCACACCACCCACCAACACAACCTTGCCTGACAACACCATGGCTCCCAGCCCGCCACCGCCCTGACACCGCCACCACGCACCCCTTGCCACGGCTCCAAAACCTTTCCCAAAACACCTGGCCGCGCCTCTCGCGCAACCACAACGTCAGCCTTGCTCTTCTTGCAAGGCACCTCAAAACCTCACTCAGCGACTCCAGCCTCCGCCTCCTCCTCCCGCTACAGCTCTACACCTCCAGCACCTGCCTCGGCTCCACCTCCACAGGACTCTTGGACACCCCTCCCCGAGGGGCGCGGGGCTCAGCCCAGCCCAAACGCAAGACCCTTCGCTTACGGGGGACGTTCTCTTCTTTCCTCTCCAGCCACCGCCCGCAAGGACGACGACCAAACACGACCCGGCCCCTCCTACAGGCGCGCGCGCGCACGTGGCACCACAGCCAGGGACCCCACGCGCCAGCAGGAGCAGCACCAGAACTCTCTCTTCCCTTTGCCTCAACCCTTGCCTCCGGCCTTTCTTCCCCACCCTCCGCACCTTCAAACACAGGAGCTGGGGCAGCTCCATCCAGGAACACGGCCCATGCTCACGTGCCTACACCCAGAGCCGCCTCTTCGCAAGCCGCCACCGCCGCCGCCCCCAGGCCCTCGCTCCACCAGGGGGCTCCCCAGGCTCCGCCAAGTGACATCGCTTCACAGCCCTGCCCGACACGAAAAGAAAAGACCGGCCAAGGCGAAAGCAAAGGCGAGCCACAAGGGAAAGGAAAACAGGCCACAACCAGCGCCAGGGCATTACAGGCGGAAAAGACGCTGGGGCAAGGAAGGGAAACTTCAGCTGCAGGAAGGAGGCACCGCAGCTCGCCCTGCAGCCACCAGGGAAACCCAAACACACCTCCCCGCCGCAGCTGCCCGCAAGGGCTCTGCCCCAGCGCTTTCGCATCCCCCACCCAACCACCGCACACAACCTCCCCCCCACACACCGCCGCCACCGCCCTCCCCGCGCACGGACACCCCAACAACGCACTTCCCCAAGACCACCACAGGCACCAGCCAAAACCGAAAACCACAGACGGAAACTCGCTGCGAGCATGCGAGCAGAAAGCCACCAAGCCAAAGACGCCGCACCACATAAAGCCGCCCGCCCGCCACCACCCCGAGCACAGCGCCCACCCGCACCACCACCAAGCCTCACCAGCCTCCTCACCAGCGCCACCCACGCGCCACCCACAGCCCCACCATGCCTGCGCCCGCAACCCCACGGCCCCGCCTGCCGCACGCCGCCCCGCCGCTCCTGCTCCTCCTCACGGCTCTCGCCACCGCCCTCCCCTGCCACCACCCGCGCACCCACGACGCCACCTTCCTCTGGCGCAGCCTCCAGTTCCTCCGGGCCATGGCTCCCAGCTCCACACAGACCTGCCACCACCAGCCCGCGCCCTTCCCCTTCCCCGACGCCCTCCTCCACACCAGCCACCCACAGCAAGCCGCCGCCACCGTCCAGCGCATCCTCGACCACCTCTTCGCCATCCTCAGCAGCACCAGCGCCCTCCAACACTGGGACACCCAGGCACACCGTGACCTCCTCAACACCATTCACCGCTACCTACAAGACCTCGAGCGATGCGTGCCAGCCAACGGGACGCTCCTCCAGGGACAAGGGGCCCGCCGCCTCCGGCTCGGCATCGACGAATACTTCAGCCGCTTCCCCAACCTCCTCCGCACCCCCAACCCCAGCGCCT